AAAAGTAATGAAGGAATAAAAACAATAATAGAAAAATGTTATGACGAAAATAAATTAATTAATTAAATGAAAAACGGCGACGATTTCCGGTACACCGATGATGACGTCATCAATAATAAATAAATAAAACCTACATAAAATTTAAATTTTATTAAAATGTGAAAAAATATTTTTTTCCGAATTGAGGTTTTAAAAATTAAAAAAAGAAAATTCTCATACCTATATATATAAAGTTTTCCTTTTTTTTAGTAACGTTTTAAAATTGTTTTTCTCAAAGTTTTCCTTTTTTTTTTTTTTTTTTTTTTTTTTTTAATATTTACGGTGCCCCGTTGACGCCGCCATTTTTCTAAAAAAAAAAAAAAAAATCGTAAAAAGAAATAAAATTTAATTTTTGAAAAGGAAAATTTTTTTTTTTTTTAAAAAAAACTAAAAAAATCGATTTTATTTTGATTATGATGATGATGATGATAATAATGATGACAATATTTATTTATTTATTTAAATTATGCGGATTTGTTTATTTATTTATTTATTATTATTATTTCGAAACGTTTTTTTTTTTTGAAAGCGTTTTTTAAAAAATGTGAGCTTTAAATCCTGAATGAATAATTAATAATTTTCTTTTTTTTATCTCTAAGAATATGAATGAATGAAATCATTCTTGAATGAATGAATGAATGAATGATTAATGGATGAAATAAAAAATATAAATAATTACGTAATGATTTTATTCATGCTTTATTTAAAAAAAAAAAGTAAAAGTTTTCTATTTATTAATTTTTACCTTTTTATTAATTTTTTTAAATAAAAATTTATTAATTGGAATTAATAATCCATATTTTATTCGTTTTAATAAATAAATAAATAAAAATTAAATTAATAACTCGCGATATTTTCTTCGTAAGAAAAAAATTAAAATCTCCGTTCGGTTGATTTGCGTTAAAATTTTATACAAATAAAAAACTACGTACGATGAATTTCGAACGGCAAACGTCGTTCAACTGCCAGTTCCGTTCGGTCTTTTTATTTTTCCTGGCATCCTTGCAACGAACTTTAACGGGGTGAGGGGAGGGAGGGGAAAGGAAAGGCACGCGGGGGGAAAGAGAAAGAGAGAGAAAAGAGAAAGAGAGAAATAAAAATAGAGTTTTGAGGATTGAATTAAAAAAAGTTTGATTTTATACATCTCAGGTATAGACCACCATATACAAAAGTAAAAAAAAAAAGTTAATTTTAAACTTTTTTTGTTGTTTGTTCTTATTTTAAAGACGAATAAAAAAAAATAAATAAATAAAAATAAATCTTTTCTTTTAAAAAATCGTTAAAAAAAAAAAAAAAAAACTAAAAAAAAAGTGATTCAGGTGATTTATTATATGCAAATTTTTTTATACGTTTGTAAATAAAAAAATTATTGATTGTTTAGGGAGAGAGAGAGAACATACACACAAACAAACAAACAAACAAAAAAACATTAAAATTGTTTGTGTTTCGCTGTGTAATTTTTTTTTTTTTTTTGGAACGAGTCAATTTAAATAAATTTTTCTTTCTTTTTTTTTTTTTTTCTTTCACTTTGTTTTACTTATACATTTATATAGAATGTTCTAGAATTAAAAATTAAATGTACAAAATTTACATAAAAGCATTAAAAAATTTATTATTTCGATTCGTGAAATAAAAAAAAAAAAACCAAAAGTTGGGTAATTAATAAAAAAAAAGGAAAAAATCCCAGTGAAAACTTTTAACAACAACAACAACAACAACAGGAAAAGATTTTTTGTAATGAAAAATAGATTAATAAATTGTTTGTTTGTTTGTTTGTTATAAAATATTAAATAGGATTTTTATTTTTTACGGGTATCAAAAAAAAAGGGGGGGGGGGAACTTGCATCGTAATATCCATTATTAATTTTTTTGTTTTTCCCAGGGTTTTTTTTTTTTTTTTGGGAAATTTTTTTTTATTTAAAATGAATAAAAATAAAGGTGTAAAACCTTTTTTCTATTTTTAGGGAGACTTGCATTAAAGGAAAAAAAATTAATTAATTATTTAATTAATTAAATTAAATTAGTTTCATATTTCCTTTTAGTCACAGAGGAAATAAATAATTAATTTTGTTTTTTTGTTTTTAAAACAAGACGACACGGAGTTGATTTATAATGTTTATATACAAATTTTACACCTTTTTTTGTTTAACTCTTAAAATAATTTATAATTCTATTAAAAATTCTATTATTTCTCTTCTTTTTTTTTTTTTAAATACTAAATCTCATCGGAGTACAAAATATTAAGTTTAAAAAAAAAGGAGGGAGGGGAACGCATTGGGGGGGAACCCGTTTAGTAACCCTAAAGTTAAATTTTTTTTTTTTTAAAGGTTTTAAATGAGTAAGTACCTCGGGGGGATTTTTTTTTATAAAATATCTTAAAAGTAACGTTTTTTTTTTTTTACATAATGCACGTATTAAAATATATATATATATATATTTTTTTTTTTATACGTTTATTTTACGTTTCAATTTTTTTGTTTCGACAAAAAAATATATTAATATTATTTTTATTTTTTATTTTTATTGTTTTAAGAAAATAAAACATTTTGTTTTGTTTTTTTTTTTTGTTAAACTAAATGTTATGCATACCAAAATACATGGGAATTGATTTTTTTTTTCTTTCTTGTATTTGTCTAAAATTCGTTTTGCGTACGTATAAGTTTGTGGACACAAAAAAAAAATTAATAAATTGTACTTTTTATTAAAATTGTTCATTTCGCGTCTTTAAATCGTATTGACACGATTAATTGTTTGTTTGTTTGTTTGTTTGTTGTGTTTTTTTTTTTTTAATGTAAAAATAAAAAAATTAACTGCCCCGGGTGAGGATCGAACTCACGACCTTAAGATTATGAGACTTACGCGCTGCCTACTGCGCTACCGAGGCGTTGGCGTGCATTGATTGTTTTTGTCTTAAACGAGGGGATAGGAAAAAAATTTTTTTTTTTCTCAGGCGCGATGTTTTCTTTTTGATTAGTGTTTAACTTATGGGTAAAAAACCCACGAATATTTTGTTATTATAATTTTTTCGGTTTATTTACTCTGTAAATATTTTGCATAGAGTGTGATAAAATTCTAGAAATTTTAAAATTTTAAAATGACGTACGTACTTGTTTGTTATTTCTATTTAAGACTTTAATTAAATTTTATGGGGCTCTGAAATTTTAATTTTGCATGTAATAAATAGATTTCTCTCGCACTTTTGCATTTATAATGGTTGTTGACATGCGTGTCGAATCGGGAATCTTTGTTGTTTTTATCTTATTATCCATAATAATGAAACGGACGTCAGGAAATAATTATTATTAATAAGATTTTCTCTATGTTTTTAAATTTATTCGTTGTAACTCGAATTTCTTTACTTTGTTTTCTTATGTATGTACGTATTGGCTCAATTAAATAGCCAGTGTAAATTTTTAACAATTCCAGAGACGAGAAAAAGAAAAAAAAAAGAAAAATTATCTGTTAAATCTATTGGAAAAGTGCCCGATTAATTTAAAGATTTTGATTTTCTATCAATTTTATCAAGACTTTTCAATTTTTTTCAATTTTTTTTTTCATTTTATTTTATTTAAATGTCGTTTTATGATTCGCTTTTATTTATTTATTCTCGTTTACATTTTAAATATTATAAATAATTATCAAAAATGTTTTTGTCATTAGCTGTTTTTAATATTTTTTCAAAAAAAATCGATTATTAAAATTTTTATCCGATGCCGGGGATTTGGTGTGAAGGGATAATCAAATGACGTCATTTCCGTGCAAACGAGATACAAATTATTTAATGGCGTCCTTATTCATATACAACTTTGAAACTCTTAGTTTTTTTTCTTTTCCTCGAAAATATGATTTATAAACAAAAAGTTTTTATAGTTTTGTCGAAACAGGTATTCTAAAGGCATCGTTTAAATAATCGCGTTAAATATTATCGATCGATCAATCGATTGAATCAAATTATTGAAAAAAAAGCCATTAATGAATTTGATTTTTTTACAAACTGTCGCCGAACAATATGTCTAAAAAGTTTTTTTATAAAAGATGAAATTTTTTTTCTTTTTTTTTTTTTGGCAAATTGTAGGAGTTGATCAACTTTTTTCCTTTTTTTTTTTTTTATTTTGAGCGCAGTCTCATTGACACAATTTTTTATTATTTTTTTAATATCTAATTAAAATTAGTTACTAATAGGTAAAATGATCGAAATGAATGTTTTTATTATACTAATCGACAATTCACATTCGATTAAAAAATAATTTTGTTTATTTATTTATTTATTTATGTAGCATTTACCATTTAATTTTTTTTAGGAATTTATTTTGCGTTGTTTATTACGAGAATGCTATTGTAATTAAGTTATTTAAAATACTAATTAATTAATTTTTACTTTAATTAAAAAAAAAAAAAATTTTTTATCAGGTTCCACCGAGATTTGAACTCGGATCGCTGGATTCAAAGTCCAGAGTGCTAACCATTACACCATGGAACCCTATGTGAAGATGAGTAGAATACGTACAAATCGGCTTTTTTTTTAATATAAATATTCTTCAGTTACGTAATATTTGTCACTACGTAAATTTCTTCTTCTCCACGTTTAATGACCTTGTTATAATTTCTTTTTAAAAAAAAAATCTTTCGCGTTCTAAAAAACGCGCGAAAAGAGACGTTATTAATTTTAAATAACCGTATTAGGTTTTTTTTCAGGTATTATAATTATTATAGGTATATCCTCATGTACAAAACGAAATTAATTAATTTCATTGTAATTCTTTCTATTAATTTTTTCTTTTTTTTCCTATTTCTTCTTTCTGATTATCTAGGTAGGATTCGTTAACACCGGTTCCATGGTGTAATGGTTAGCACTCTGGACTTTGAATCCAGCGATCCGAGTTCAAATCTCGGTGGAACCTGTTATTAATTTTTTTTTTTTTTATAAACTGTTCTAACAAATTTTTTTTTTGTCATTTCAGGTTGATTATTATCGCCATTTTAACGAAATTGTTGATTCGACAAAAGTTTTAGTACTATCGGCTGCCAGAAGATATTACAACGAAGGAAATTATCCGCGAGTTTTAAATTTGATCAAAGAATTTATAAAATTTAACGATTCTCCTATTAAAAGTGGTAAGTATTCCATCTTTTTTTTTTTATGTACCTTAAATTAATTGTAAAACAACTTTATCTAAATTGCACAAATTTCATAAACACACACACACGATTAAAAATTTTTTTTTTTATTTTCATTTTTAGAAACAATTTCGGATTCTTCGGCTTTTGATAATTTTATGAGGAAAATAAAAAATTTTCAAAAATTTTTAATTTGTAAAGAATTGCAAAAAGATGACGATTTGAAAAATTTATCCAATAAGTTATATTCGGATTGTGAAAAATTAATTAATAAAATATCTTCTTCCGGTTGTCTGACTTTTGGCGGGAAATTTGAATGGGTCGACAGCGTATTAGTTAAGGTAATTTTTTTTTGTAAATTTGAACCAAATTCAAATTAATAGTAAAAAAAAAATTAATTATTATATTTACAGTCTTTACAAGATGGTTCTTGGGTACTCATCGAAGATGTTAACTTGTGTTCAAATGCTGTTTTGGATAGGTTGAATGGTCTATTAGAGCCAAACGGGTGTTTGACAATAGGAGAACGTGGAGCTAACGAAATGGGAAAAATTATGACGATAACTCCTCATCCAAATTTTAGATTATTTTTTACGATGGATCCCAAAAATGGATCTATTTCAAGGTGAATACAAAAAAAATTATAAATTTTACCCTGATATTCAATTAAATATCTAAATAATAAAATAATGTATGTTACAGAGCTATGCGTAATCGCGGAGTGGAAATATATATTTTACCTGATGAAGAAATTCAAAATTGGCCACAATTGGATTTAATATCACTTTTAACAGACTCGGGGATATCGGATGTGGAAATTCAAAAAGCTCTTTTAGAAATAGAATCGAAAACCGATCATCAAAGCATTACTAATTTGACCTCGAATGCATTTTGGACGAGTCAATATTTGAAACAAGGATTTTCAAAAGGAGACGCCATTAAAAACTCATCGAAATATCTTCATAATTTTACGAACGACCAATTAATTGATGAGATTTCTACCAAATTAAATTTAAGAGATACTAATTTGGATATATCATATGCGAAACCAGGGATCGATACTTATATCGTGGATCCAAAAATTGCAAGAATTAAACAAGAATGCTCTCTTTTGTACCTGGCATCAAAATTCAATAATTCCATTACTGGTAGTAGTAGTAGGAGACTAACATTGGTAGAAATTTTAGATTTTATTTTTAAAAATTCGGATTTGATAAATAAAAATTTTGATTCTTTTAAATTTATTTTGTTTAACGTATTTCACATATATTTAACTTGTTCTAATGAAGATTCTCGGATTTTAAATAATTTTATTCAAAGTTTTATATCAGATGTGGAAAGTGAAAAATTTCAAAAAATTTTAAAATATTTAAATAATAAATGTACAGAAATTATAACGAATGTTAAAACCGAGTGGTTACCCTGGGATTTGAGATGGTTTGAATCCATGAAATATATATTTAAAAAAAAACCGTTAAAAAATGATAATAACGTGTTTGTATTATTAAAAGAGATTCTTAATTCCGCTCTGTATGATGATTCTGCAAATAATAATGAAATGACGTTGGAAAAATATTCCAAATGCGTGCAAGAAGGTAATTTTATAAATTAATTAAATTAAATTAATTATAATAAATTTTTTAAAAAAACGTTTTTTTTTTAATTTTTAAGGACGGATGGAAAATTTTTTTATGGAGCAACCCATGATTTCAAATTTTACTAAATACATACAAGAATTTGATTCCCTCACGAAGGATTTATTAAATTGTACAAACGTTTATTTAACAGAGGATGATGCTGTTTGGTTTTTCACCTTATCAAAATGGAAATTTCGTTTAAAACAACAGGGAAAACTTATTTTATTTAGTAATAAAAATAAAAAAATTGTTAATGAAGATACTTTAACGCTAGCAGAAATACACTATTTATGGTTATTAAATTTTTTAATTATAAAAAGTGATCAATTATCAGGTTTTATAAACTTACCCGCAGATTTGTAAGTTTATCGACTTATTTAAAAAAATCATTTTAATCAATATTTTTTTTTAACTTTATTTAATTTATTTTTTTTTTTTTGAATTATTTTCAGAAACGAGAGATTGTTAAATTTTTTAACATTTTCAAAACACATGGGATATTCACAAAATTCTGTTAAACTTATAAAAATTTGTAATACTTTTCGGAAATGCATGGGATATTCTTTACCGAATAAATATTTGCCCCCCGAGAATGAAATGGCAATGGCAATGGACACGGGAAGAATGTTTGGATGAATCAACGATTAATGGCGATCCAATTATTTTGCGAAGTATTCTTAACATACTTGTTGAATACGTAATGGCGAATATTAACACCGATGAATATCAAAGAATAAATTTCGATAATTTACCTCGTTTTATAATTAAATTTATTCAACTTTTATCAGAAACGAGGAAAGACGTTAAATACGGAAATTCATTTAAAAATTTACTAGTTGAATTTTTTAATTCGACGATAAAAGAAAGATGGAGACTCTCATCGGAAATCCTTTTCACCGCATTGAAAATATTAAACGAAGATTTTTTATTTTTCGAAGAAACTGAAAACGAAGAAGCCGAATTGAAATACATGAATCAAATTTTACCATATCATAGACCCGTTTGGTGCTGTAGAATCATAAATATGGTTTTCGAAACGGAAAAAAATTGGTCTTTAACAAGTTCACAAAAATCAACAAATGAACTTAACAAGTTGATGATAACAATTTTACCAAATTCTATACAACCGTTAATAAATGGGGATTTGAAAATATCATTAACCGACAGTTTCGAAAACGAAAAGAAAATTTTAAATTTCGAATTAAATAAATTGAATGAGAGTCTTCGAAAAAGTTTAGGATTTCAACATTCGGATTTACCTTTCGAAAAAGCATTGGATACATTATTTAAAGAAACTTCCGTGCGGAAACCGGAAATGATTTTTTTAACGAGATTTAAATCCGTTATTAAATTTTTTAATTCTTTTAAATTAGATGAAGAATCGAATTATATGGTTTTGGGAAATTATTGGTTACTTCTTGGCATGATTAAAATTTTAATACTTCACGAGGGTAAAATCGATCCCATTAGAAAAAAATTAGTGAAAGCAAATTATGCCGTGGAAGAGGTACGAGAGTAATGTTTAAATATTATTAAAACCTGATCGTTTTTGATAAATATGTATTTTTTTTTTTTTTAGATCGCGGAGCACGAAATGGAGCTTTTGGCTTTGAAATTCTATTCGGAAATCACTGGAATAGATTTAAATCATTTTTATGTTAAATATTTAGAATCTCAATTGGAATTATCCGTTAAAAATAATTTAAAATATAATTATTTGAAAAAAGTTAAACGATTTCCCGATGAATTCAGATCAATATTAAAAGAAATGGATGGTTTTATGGTTACTTTTGATGAAATGATTCGATTCTATGAAAATACGTTGAATGTTATGACCGCAAAGGATAATAATAATGATAAATTTATCGATCATTTGTTTCGTAAAGGTCGATTTATTGTTATAAAAACTAAAAATTTTTGTGAAAATATAGAAAAATTTGTTTGTAATTATGGAGATTTGGTGTATCCAATACTATCAGCGTCTTCCAACGTAAATTTTTTAAAATATTTACTTAATTTTTTAATTACATCGGAATTTAAGAATGATTATGTATAGATTGAGCATGGTATAAACATCATAATGTCGGAATTAATATTAAATTTACAAAGTCGCCATATTGAAATTCAAAATTGGATTAATAGTTTAGGAAGTTTTCCAATCACTCCAGATCGTCAATTACCATTTAATTTCGAATTGTTTAACACAAACACTTGGCCTGGAGAAATAATAAAAAAAATTGAACAGAATAAATTGCTTATTTTATTTAGTTCTTGTCTTGTCAAATATAACGAATGGTTATTTTTTAAAAATGATGAAACGTTTGCGGAAATTATGAATATTTTTTCTCTAGCCGTTGATTTTTGGAAAAAAGAAGAGAATAATAAAAGAAAAGCAGAAATCGAAAAAGAAAAATTATACGTTAGAAAGTAATTTTTTATACAAATATTCTCAATTAATAATTATATATATATAAAAATATTACGTTTCTTAAAAATTTTGATTCAACTTTCAGAGGGATACAACATGGAGGAGCAATCGGAGAAAAAGAAGAAGAATTTTTAAACGACATGTTAAATTTATTTCCAACATTTCAAGAAGATTTCGATGAAAATTCTAAATCGAATGGTAGTAGTAATCGTCAAAAAACTGACAAAACGTTTTTTAATGAAAATCATTTGATTCAAGTCAGTAAACTTCATATGGTGTTGGTAAAAGCATCAATAAATACTAAATGGGATTTAAATAATAATAATAATAATAATAATTTCTCTATGAATCCTGATTTTATATCTCCTTTGTGCATGAGGTAAAAATTGAATATACGACAAGTTTTTAAGATTTTGTAAAATGTTATGAAGTAAAATTTAAAACTTTTAGGTTTTCATTAATACACAAACTATTACCAAACGTTGCGTGTCTTCTTAATAGAAAAACTGATGAAATTTTAACACCCGGATTACTCGCGTTGATGAAATCAAAAGAAAATGGTTTATGTTATTCCGAAGCCAAACTTTATAAGGATTCCGATTATATTTATGATTTTTATCAAGATAAAAATGTTGAAGAAGTTTGTAAATGTTTGGAAATATTACAAGGATTGAAAATAAGGATAAAAAGTTTCTTATCCGAATGGCCTGACCATCCGACATTGATTCAGGTTGTTTTTTTTTTTTTTTTAAATTTCTCTTTAATGCGAAATTTTTAAATACCATCGTAATATTTTGCTTTTTTTTTTTTTTTAGATCAATACCATCACCGATAGAATTCTAACATTTTCCATAGAATCTCCAGTAATGAGATTTTTAACTGGAATTGAACTTTTACTTCAAAGTTGTCAGGATTGGGAAAGCGTGGCACACGTTAACGTTTCAATATCTGATCATTTAATTAAAATCACGAATCTTGTTATAGAATGGCGTAAATTAGAATTACAAGGATGGAAAGATTGTTTATTATCTGCTCACAAAAGGTAAAAGAAATTTTTTCCATCATTTAATAATAATAATAATAATATTAAAATAATTTTATTAATTTGATTTCAGAATAAAAAATAAAACGTTTAAATGGTGGTTTCATTTTTGGTGTCTCGTCGAAGAATATTTTTCTTCTTCTTCTTCTTCTTCGTTCGATGAACTTGTCAAAGCTTTATACAATTTTATAGAAGCATCACCAGTTGGAGAATTCGATGCAAGGCTGGAAATACTTTTATCTTATCATTATCACGTCCTCCATTTTCCAAAATCTGAAAAACGAGGTTACTTTATATGAAAAATAAACTGGCAATACATAAATGTGATAGAATTTAAATAAGAGACAAAATTTATTGAATTTACAGATGTTTTATCGATCGCTTTATGGAATCTTTATGCATTTTATCAACAATTTAGCATCGTCGTTAATGAAAAATTACAAAAAGATAGTGCTTCCATTTGGAAAAAGTTGAAAGAATTTGTTAAAATAGCAAAATGGCACGATATCACATATTGGTCCGTAAAACAAGCCGTTGAAAAAAGTCATAGAACTTTACTTAAATTTATTAAAGAATACGAAGTAAGTTATTATTCACCAAGAAGAATTTTAAAGTTTTACAACAAAAAATAAAAAATTGTTTTCTTTTAGGTTTTGTTACAAGAAAAAGTTGATCTTAAATCATTTGACCTTTCGAATAATTTCAAAGAACGTAAAAAAAACATAAAAAATATTTTTTATCAAGATGTTTCAATTTTATTAAAAAAAATTAATAAAAATTTAGAGTTTTACGAATCGTCCAAAACGTTAGAAAATATAAAAAATTTCGATAAAAAATTAAATAAATGTCAAAAATTTATTAACGAAATCGTATTAAAGGCGGAATATCCTTCTCTTATTATTAGTTTAGAAAATTTAACGGAAATCATTTGTGAAAATTCGTTACATTTTGCAAATATCGATGTTGATAGGAGTCTTCCTTTGGAAAAACAAAAATCTCAAGCGAAAAATATCGTACATCAAAAAAGAAGAGCACTCGTGGATTTATTTAAAACTCTACAGAAAATTGGTTTATCTTATAGAGCTGGTATTAATAATAATGATTTTGGAGTACTTGAAATGTGTGATTCATCTCCGATGCCATTTTTTGACGGTCATCATCATCAAAATGACAGGTTATTAATTAAATTTGCGAATTTATACAATATAATAAAAAAATTTATAACGATTTTTCTTTTTTTTTTTAATTTTTAGTAGTAACTATTTAGTAACTGGAGAAAGTTATTATTTAAAATCAATTTTGAGAAAATTAATTTTAGAAAATTCTCTTTTAACTCCATCTAAAGAAATCGGTCCGCAAGTTATTGAAAGATTGAGAGGATTTTCCGGGGATTTCATAGTAAGTCAAATTTTTTATTCTTTTTTTTTTTTTTTTTTTTCTTTACTTTTCCAAATTTTCGTTTAATTTGCTAATTATTCCAGGCATTGTGTAAAAATCAAAGGAAACAATTAACCGTTTCCGTTTTGAATTTGGAAAATTTGAAAAATTACAAATCCGCTTTGAATTCCATCGTTAAAAAGACAAATAATTTTGGAATTCCTTCTCAGAAAAAATTTATAAAAACGATTAACGACACTAAAAAATGTATAGACGAAACAAATTATATTTTGGAACAATTTAATCACTTGTTGGATTCGTGGCCCCTCTCCGAAGGTGGAAAAATGAAAGAAATGAATTTTATCGGAGGAGATTTAACGCCATCGATTTATACATCATCGAAAACGGACGAAATTTACGTCACAACGCGAAAAGAATTCGATTCAATTTTTTTTAAATTTAAAGAATTGAAAGGAAAATTCGATAAAAATTTAACGTCGAATCCTTCTCACTGCGTAAATATTAAAAAAAATGGCGTCAACGAAATATTAAAAAATGATTTTATTTATTACACTTATGAAAATGTGATGGAATGTAATGAATGCGTGGAAATTTATAAAAATTTAATTGAAAATTTAAATAATTTTTTTAATAAATTGTCCAACGAAACAATATCTAGTCAATTGACGACCATTACCTTTAATCAAATTAAAAATTTATCTGATAAAATTAATTCGTATGAAATGAATGATAATATTTCGGAAAATGAAAGGATTGATATTGAAAAATTATTAAAAAATAATATTGAAAAACTTATTCAACATGTTTTATTAGGGATTCAAAAATTAAAAAAAAAAATTGATTATTTACAAGTGGATGCAATGAAAAAAGAACCAAATGATACAAAGGGTTTGTTATTAATTTAAAATTTAAATTTGAAATAATTAATAAATAAAATAATAATTAAAATAATAATTTTTTTTTATTTTTAGTCGATGAAAATGGTGAAGATGAAGCTGAAGAAGAAGTAAATGAATTATTGGATAATCATTTAAATAAAAAATTAATGGAGTCATTACATTCCGATATTGAAAATCTTGACATTTTAAAAACAAATAATATTTTATATTTTATATTTGATACCTTGTCAACCTTTTCAGATTCCAGCGATTTAATACAAATTACCCCGAAAATATTAGGGTAATTTTTTTTTAAATAGTTAAATGGTGGATTAAAAAATCAAAAAAAAAAAAAAAATTGTTTTAATTTTTTTTTTTTTAGTTTGTTTTTACCAATAATTCCATTGGTTGAACAATATTTTCATCTTTGTTCATATCTTGTCACACAACAAAATTTATGTTATAGAACATCGAATAAACTTTCTTGTATTTTATATAAAACGTTTATTCAAGTCGCACAAAAGGTACACAAGAGGATAATTAATTTTTTAAATTTTCCTACAGCAGAGAATATTTTTATAATTTTTTTGTTGTATCAGGGTTTTTGTGCGCCTCCAGAATATGAAGAGGGAGAGGGAGAGGGTGAGAGTTGGACCGATAAGGAAGGAGGTGGATTTACCGGATCAGATGGAGAAGGATTAAAAGATGTTTCAAGTAAAATAGAAAGTGAAGATCAATTGGAAGATGCAAGACCCAAAGGATCTGAAAAAAATGAAGAAAACGACAAAGATTGCAATGTAAGATTATTTTTGTTTATGCTTTTTTTACTTTAATTTAAATAAAAAAAAAAAAAAAAAAAAATGGACAAGAAACAAAAATATTTTGAAACAACAAAAATTTTTATTTATTTACTTTTTTTTTTAATTTTTATTTACGTCAATGGTTATTTGTTTTTATCAATTTCGAAAAATTTTAATCAAAATTTTTTTTTTTTTAATTAAAATTAAAAATTTTTGTCAAAAATAATACAAATCAATGGCATATCACAATTTGATATTGGAAAAATGTAAAGATTCACAAGGTTTAATTGCAAATTTGAGTAAATTAAACGAAGAAAGAATGAAACTTGAAGCAATTATTGAAAATGAGGAAAATGAAAAAGCTAAACTTGAAAAAGAAGCAAAAATAATATTGAAAAAATTATCAACGGTCACTCAAAGTTTAAGTAGAAAAGTAGCTGCAAGAAATGAATTTGATAAAGCTATAAAACAGGGTGAAATTATGGTTAAAAACCTACTGGAAACATATAAAAACATAACAAATGTTTTGAAAACAAAATTTCCAGTTAAATGAAGTTTGGAAAAGAAAGAAAATAAAATAAAAAAAAAAAGAAAATATCCTTTGCTTTCTTCCATTATAAAAATCATTTATCATCTTCAATTGTCTAGCATTTCTATAATATTTAATAATTGTTTTTATTTTAAAAAATTGTTTTGTTTTTATCTTTTCTAATAATAATATATTTTATAATAATATATAATAAAAATATACGATAACAATGTCTTTTTTTTTGAAATTTAGTTTTTAAAAAAAAAACGTTATAAATTGTTGTAATCAAATAAAATTTTTATGGGTTTTTTATTATTTTTTAAATAGGAGGATGAAAATGGTATAGAAATGTCGGAAAATTTTGATGGTAAATCTTATAATGTCGATGATAAAAATGATGAAAATGATGATAATGATGATGACAAGGATGAAGATGAATCAAAAGATGAAGATGCTGATATGGAAATGGGAGAAACTGATGCTGGTGTCGATCAACTGGAATCTGAGGTATAAAAATTTAATAAAAAATTTAATAAAATCTTATTTTGAAAAATTAAAAAAAAAAAAAAAACTTTTTTTTAGCTATGGGATGATTCTGAGAATGAAGATGATGAAAACGAAGATAAAAAAGAAGATGGAGAAGGAGGAAGAGGGAAAAAATTAACCGAAGATAATTATGCAGCAAAAGAAAATGATGAAGAAAATGAAAACAAAGATGAAGGAAATGATGGAGAACGTGATAGTAAAAAAGAGCAAAAAAATAAAGATATTAATGAAATGAATGAAAATGAAGACAATGGGGATCAGGTACGTATACCTAAATAAATTGTGTCTTATTCTAAACGTACGCTTTCATTAAAAAACTTTCTCTTGTTTTAGATTGATCCTTATCACGGACACCATCCACCTGATCCGGAACCCGAACCTTTAGATCTACCAGATGACATGCAATTAGATGACGGTGATGCAAAAGGCGATGAAGGTGAAAATGAAGAAAATCCTTTTGATATAGATGCCATGAAAGAACATCAACCGCCTTTGGAAATGGAAGAAAATGATAAAGAAAAAGAAATAACCGATGAAGATAAAGATAAAGATTCTACTGATTCGGATGATGGCGGTGATGATGATGACAATAACATGAAGGAATATGATGGTAGCGAAGAAGAAAATGATAAAAACCAAGAAGAAAACGACATAAATAATACCGAAGAAGAAAATGTTAATAGAAATGATAAAAAATCAGAAGAGGAATCTGATAAAAATAAAGAAACTACCGAAGATGATAATTATCATCCATCTGATGACAAGCCTTCGGAAATGGTGGCTCAACCCGCACCTCAAACTGAAAACCATGAAATGATGTCCGTAGATCAAGTTGCTGCTAATAATGATAATCAAAATGAAAATGCTGAAGCGCAAGAACTCTCGCAAAAAGTTGAAGTGGATTCCAAAGGAGTCGGACAAGCCGATATTGAACAAAGTAAGGAGGGTCACGACGCAGATGTTTCAAGTAAAAAAAAATTAACTTCCGGTCAATCGAAAATGAATAGAGAAAGAAAAAGAGAAAGACCTGGAAAAAGTAATGATGATAGATGTTTGGGAGATGAAGAAAGTTCAGTTAACAAAAAGCTCAAAACCATTGATAATTTAGAAGAGAAAAATACCAACAACGATGAAAATGAAGCCGATTCAGAAATGTATCAACACGTTTCCGAAGATATCCAAAATGCTGCACAAGTATTGGATGCTGCGACCAAAGTTTGTACCAGTCACGTGATTATGTTTATTATATAAATGATTGTTTAAAACCTTTTATTTTATTTTTTATTTTTTGTATCATTTAGGAACAAGTTGATAAAAATCCTTTGTTAAATGAAAATGAAGAAGAAAAAGAAGAAGAAGAAGAAGAAAATGTAACGGATTCAATGAAAGATGACGGTTGCATGGATATCGATGAAGATGATATTGAAAAAATAGAAATAGATAAAAAAAATTGTAAAAAAAAAAATGATAATAAAAACAATTTTCCAAGCGAAGAAGAATTAAATGGAAATCAAATCACGGATGATATAAAACTTCAGGTTTAAATTTTAAATAAATTTATATCATAGATAGATTATATTCGATGACAGTAATAATAATAATAATAATATTGGTTGCAGACGGAAGGAGATTTTATTAAAACTATGAATGTTGGTAGAAAACCGGAAAATACTTTTCATACAAAATTATCAGAAGATTTGAGTCGAGAGAAATTTCCACCATTAGAACCGGAAGAAATACAAAGAATAAGAGTGGAAATACAAAATCAGTTGTCGCAAAGTCAAAAAGTATAAAAATATTTAAATTAAATGAAAATTATTATAATTCTTCTTCTTTTTTTTTAATAATTTAATTAATTTAAATTTTTCCAGAATGAAATTCCTTCAGTGAGCGACATTCGTACTTGGCATATGCTGACATCAATCGTTGACGGATTAGCTCGAGATTTAAGTGAACAATTGAGATTAATTCTAGAACCTACTCGTGCTACCAGACTTAAAGGAGATTACAGGTATGATTACACACCTTGAAATTTTTGTTTTTTTGTTTTTTTTTTTTTTTTTCGGATTTGACTTAATAATGAAAAATTTTGTTAGAACCGGTCGTCGTATCAATATGAGAAAAATCATTGGTTACATAGCAAGCGAATTTCGTAAGGATAACATATGGCTTAGAAGAACGAAACCTTGGAAAAGAGAACATGAAATAGTTTTGGCCATTGATGACTCTCTCAGCATGTGCCATAACGAATCACAAGAATTGGCTTTCGAATGTTTGGCTCTTGTTTTCAAAGCCATGGGATTGATAGAAGCTGGAAGATTAGGGGTTTTAAGTTTTGGTGAAAAAACTAAAATTGTACATAGATTAGGGGATCAATTTTCCGATGATATGGGTGCTAGGTATGCATTTGGGGTTCCTGGTTTTTTTAAAATGTATTTTTCCCCGTTTTCAAATTAAAAATTTTATCGTGACAGGTTTATTAAAGAATTTACTTTTGAGCAAAAGAAAACACTCACATGTGACATGCTTGATGTGTGCACTCAAATGATGAATTATGAAAAGAAAGGTGAAGACACAGCTAAACTTTTGATAATTATTTCCGATGGGCGAGGAGCTTTCAGCGAAGGATTAGATAAAGTAAAAATGGCTGTTCAGCGAACTACAGATAGTGGAATATTTGTCGTTTTTATTATTATCGATAATCCAAAATCTAAAGTAAGTTAAATTTTAAAAATGTTCATACATACATTGGTTATTTCAAAGAGCGAGAATGATTATGATTTTCTTCCAGGATTCTATTATGGATATCAGAATGCCAGAATTTAAAAATGGTAAACTCGTAGGAATTAATTCATACATGGAAGTTTTCCCTTTTCCTTATTATTTAATTCTTCGTGATATAACATCTCTTCCCAATACATTAGGAGATGCTCTAAGGCAATGGTTTCAATTAATAACAAGTACTATGACATAATGATTGTAATGAATTAAGAAAAAATTTAATAATAAAATAAATTTACTCATAACTCTTTATTTTTTATTATTTTCTACAATTTTTATTTTTTCAATTCATATTTTTTTTTTTTAAACCGGTAATAAAATATTAACAGAAATAATTTCCACTATTCACTTCAGATAAAAATCTAGAAATAATAATAACGATTACATAAAGTTTATATTTTTCTCAAATGTCAAAATAAGATTGGTTATTAAAGGTCAAGAACGCATTCTTTAAAAAACAAAAAAAAGACTTAAAAAAATAAAATAATTATTTTATAAATCAAAAGTTTAATTTTCGATAAAGATAAATAAATTTTATTTTAGTTGATTCACACTAATTTGAAACTAAAAAAAATAAATAAATAAAAACATTTATATATTTCGTCTGAAGTTTGAAGATTTTGAAGACGATTGCGCAACAAGACGATTTACTGTCAATTACAAAATAAAGATGGTAAACGGTTGTGAATCATTTTTGTCAATGGGGCTTATCAGCATTATAAAATGTTTATGTTTTTAATATTTATTTTTTGTTTTTCTGTCCCAAGTTCTTTAGTTTACAGTTTTCCAGAAGAAGGAAAATGGAATTGTACTTTAGATCAAGTTAGAATATTTTATTTTTTGATTATTTTTTATTAACTTTTTGTTTTTAACCTAATCACGTTACATATTTTTATTTTCAGAACATACCTGGTTTAACTATACCTAAAAGTTTATTTGCGGGATCTCAATTTTTTATTGAAAGTAAGACTAAAAATAATATAGACTTTTTAAAAATGAGTTATTTTAACATTTTAAATTTTTTTTAAAAATTACATTTACAATCTTTAATTTATAATAACATGTATTTTTAATAATGTTAATTTGTTTTACAACTTCTGTAGCATACTGTATCAGAAAATATTATTATCATTTGACATTATTTTTATTTTTTAGTTCTATGTTTAAGTGGAAGTATAGATTCAATTGTAACTATTGATTGGTTCATAACAGAGTCCAGCTGTTGGAACTATCATTCAGTATTTGATGATGGTGAAAAGGTAACAATCAAAATAAATTAGTTTTAAATGAAAATTAAAATTTTTTTTAAAATAATGAATTCTATATAAACCTTACAATTTTTTATTAACTTCATATTTTTCTTATTTTTTTTTTTTCAAAATAAATTTTACGAATAAAATCATTTTAAAAATTTAAAGTTGTTAAACGTTTTATCAATTTCATTATTAGTATTTCATTTCGATGTTAATGATGTCATTTAAGTTAATGTTTCTATGTATACAATTAGTAATTTATTTAATTTGCAGACACACAAAAATTTATTAAATGTTGTTTTTATTTGCAGTTCCTGGATCCTATAATTCACAAAGACAATAAGACTATTGCTCAGGAAATTGTCACCAATTGCAGTGGTCACATAATGTTGGTAAGATTTATAATTTATATTTATTTAAATTATTAGATGACTTTTAAAACTTGTAAAGATGCTAATAAATAAATGTATTATTTTGTCAAATTAGAATGAATTGAAAGATTTCGGCAGTGAAGATTCCGTCTCGAAATACTACGGAGACCAAACTTCAGGATTAAAGCAAGTAGGAAAAAATTCTGATTTGGAAGAAGATAATAATAAAAGAGAAACAGCTGTTGAAAATTTTAAACATAACGATCATCCTAATATGGTAAGTGTTAAACAAATTTTTTTTTTTTTTTTTAATCATATAATCATTAATTAAAATGTGCACATGATTTTCAATATTGTTTATTAATCGATTAAATTGAATTTAATAGATGACTTCTCCTGTTTATGTTGTGCCAAAAGATGGCTTTTATACATTAGTATTGAAAATGAAAGGTACAGATTTCAAAGCATATGTTTTAGTAAATATTATTGGGAAAAATGGATATTTATCTGCAGCAGATTGGCCTCTCTTGCCGGTAAAATAAATCAATAATTCATTTGTTTGTAATTTTTTTATATTTGAATACTTTTTTGAATTAATTCTTTTAAAATTTTTAGTTTTATGGAGTCATGTGCTTAGTTTATGTTTTTTTCGGTTTAATATGGTTGATTGTGTCATTTTGCCAATGGAGGGAACTTCTTAGAATTCAATTTTGGATTGGGGGGGTAATTTTATTAGGTATGATAGAAAAAGCCATTTTTTATGCAGAATATCAAAATATTAATTCAACAGGAGTCAATTACAAATCGGTTGTTCTCTTTGCCGAATGGGTTTCATGTGCCAAACGAACCTTGGCTAGAATGCTTGTTATTATTGTTAGTTTGGGATTTGGTATTGTTAAGTAAGTATTGACTTGAGTGTTGTTTTCTTTCTTTCTTTGCAAGAGCACTCCTATACTAAGTAAAATTTTTGTTTCTTTTTGTAGACCACGCCTTGGATCTATGCTACACAGACTTATGGGAGTTGGTGCCTGCTATTTTATATTAGCCGTAGTTGAAGGATACATAAGAGTGATGCGCCCGAAAAATGACTCTTCCAATCAATTGCTTATTGCAAGCATTCCTCTTGCGGTACTCGATTCGGCCATTTGTTGGTGGATATTCACTGCGTTGATACAAACAACGCGTACCCTAAGACTAAGAAGAAATTTAGTTAAACTCAGTTTATATCGTCATTTTACAAATACATTAGTATTCTCAGTATTGGCCTCTATAATATTTATGTTATATTCTATTAAAGTTCATCGTTTAGCCATATGCTTGACGGTGAGTGTTCGGATTAAAATGTTCATTTTTCAAAGGAAATGATGGTGAAATATATGAAAAAAAAAAAATGTTTTTTTCCCGTAGGATTGGAAAAACCTTTGGATAGATGAAGCTTTTTGGCACATTTTATTCTCAGTACTTTTATTAGTTATTATGATTTTGTGGAGGCCGACAAACAACAATCAAAGATATGCTTTCACTCCATTGTTGGATGCTGCTGAAGACGACGAAGAAGAGGATTTGTTCGTGAACGATGCTTATGGTATTATCGGATTAAATTAACAAATTACAACACATTTAATCAACTGACGACACAAAAAAAAAAATTTTTTTTTTTTTTAAATTTTCAAGGTGTTAAAATGAGAACTCACAGCCGACCAAATTCACCGAAACCTAAACCTACGAACGATGATGATATATTAAAATGGGTCGATGAAAATATACCATCGGCAGGAGTCGAAACGTAATAACCTTCTTATACATACATCCATATTTGTATACATTAATGTTTGGTTTCATAAAATTTTCTTTTTCCTTTTTTACAGAGCTCTTCCCATATTTGATTCAGAAGAAGAAATATTAACGACAAAATACGAAGTGTCCAAAATGCAATAATAATAATAATAATAATTTTTTTTTTTATTTCATTTATTCAAAATGGAAATAATTCGTTTAATTTTTTTTAATACGAAAACCAAAAAATGTATTATAATATTATGAGTTATTTATTTTTTCGATTTATACAACTTATCACTGTATTTATTCATATTAATATTAATATTAATAATTTTTTTTCTCTCTCTCTCTCTCTCTCTCTTTCTTTTTTTTTTTTTTTGTTAAATTTAATAATAACGTTAGCTTTAAATAATTTTTGAAATTTGAAAGTATTTTAGAATTAAAATCTTTTTTTTAGTAATTATAAGATATATATATCATCTCATAGATTTATGAATTAATAACATCAAATCGACACGAAAATATTATTATTATTATTATTTCGAATTTTTTATTTATTCTAACGGATTTTTCATTTTTTTTTTTTTTTTTGGCATTTTGTACGATAATTAAAAATTTTTTTTTTTTAAATAATTATTTAAAACAACGACAAAGTACTTATATTTATCAATTTTACACACGTGTAATTTATAAAATGGGTGGAGGGGGGGAAATCAAATTCTACGTGTGGTAATAATAATAATAATAATTTTTTTTTTTGGAACTCGGAAAAAAAAATTTTCCCTTTCAGTATGGGGAAAAAAAGGGGAATTTTGTATCAATGCGCGTTGGGGCGCAGGCTTAGTCCCCCCACGTTATCATTTTTATCTCCTCCCCCTTCCCTCCCCTCTCCCCCAACAACCCTTCGCTTTTTTTTTTTGATTTTTAACTCTCGATTCGCAAAATTAGATCTGCCGCTTATTTCATTACCGTCCATTTATTATTATTATTATTATTATTGTATTCATTTGGATAAATCAAAGTATAAATTTTCATTTTAATAACATTATTAATAATAATAATACTATTGTTATAAAATTTATACTCTCGTGAATGTATATAAATAAATAAATAAATAAATAAAATGTAAATAATAAAAAATATATATTTAAAACGCAACAAACAATAAAAATATCAAATATATATGGAGTTATTTTGTTTTATATTTTATCCGTGAATTTTTAAGGGGTAAAAAAATTTACCCCTAATAGGAAAAAGAGAGAGAAAATTCATTGAGGAGTAAAACATTTTCCCCTTTTTTTTTTTTCTTTTTTTTTGTCGGAATCTGACACAGTCAGAGATTGTTGTAACGTTTGGTTATTGTTGAAATTATGTTTTTTTTAAATTAAATAAAAAACTTTGACGACAAAAAAAAAAAAAAAAAAATTTGAAGGATAATTTCGAAGGTAATTTAAATTTAATTAATTAATTATTTTAATAATGATAATAATATTTAAGGTCGAGGTAATCATTTTCGCGCGTGTGTGTGTGTACGGAAATTTATTTTTTATGAATGAGATAACTTTAATTTTTTCTCGGTCTATTATTATGTAATTTGTAAATTATTTTATCAGTGCCGTGATACGAAAATTTAATCATAATTTTTTTTACGCATAAAAAAAAACAAATTTTTTTTATAAAAAATT